CGTGGCTATATACACTCCCGGTGTGTATATAAAAGACAAATAGATTTTATATACACTCCGAAATACTAGCCTCCTTGGTAGGCCCAAAACTTGGGTTTTTGTGAGTGTTTGAGGATTCAGGGGCACCAAGTTTAAACCTCGGTCTTCAAGTTTATCTTATTGGATGATGAAAATCAGAAAACAACACGGAAATCTCCACCGAAGTTCGGTCGAGCGGACCGCCCCGCCCCGCTTGCGCGGGGCCCGGGACCCTCCGCTCCCGGCGGCGGCGGCGAGACCGGTCGCCCGCCCCTGGCGTCCTCGCTACCTGGTTGATCCTGCCAGTAGTCATAGGCTTGTCTCAAAGTTTAAGCCATGCACGTGCAAGTTTAAACTGTCTCAGTGAAACTGCGAATGGCTCATTAAATCAGTTATGGTTCCTCTGATCGTCACATCCTACATGGATAACTGTGGTAATTCTAGAACTAATACATGCGGAAGAAGCGCCGACCTCACGGTCTGGCGTGCATTTATCAGACCAAGACCAACCCGGGGGTTCGCCCCGGTCCCTTTGGTGTCTCTGGATAACCCACCGGCGACAGATCATTCGAATGTCTGCCCTATCAACTTTCCGGTTATGTATATAAAAGACAAATAGATTTTATATACACACCGGGTGTGTACATAAAAGACAAATAGATTTTATATACACACCGGGTGTGTATATAGTGTATATAAAAGACAAATAGATTTAATATACACACCAGGTGTGTATATAAAAGACAAATAGATTTTATATACACACCAGGTGTGTATATAAAAGACAAATAGATTTTATATACACACCAGGTGTGTATATAAAAGACAAATAGATTTTATATACACACCAGGTGTGTATATAAAAGACAAATAGATTTTATATACACACCGGGTGTGTATGTAGCCACGTTCTTTTACATAAGGGGGTTAGTGAGTGTGGATTTTGGATTGAAGGGGTTTAACCCTGGATTTGGATGAAATTATAGGGGGGTCAAGTCGCTTGGATAGAATTTTTAAGGGGCTTAGGCCCCTGGATGAAGGGGGGTCAAGGCCCTTGGATAAAAATGAAAGGGGAGTCAAAAAGTAGAAAATCCAAGCTCTTCAACCCCCCCTCCTCAGTTATTTTTTTGAACGGCCCAATCTAATTATTCCGCTGGTGTAT